GCACATGTATACAGAGACGGAGGTATACATGTATTCACATATATATATATATATATATGTGATCGCGGGCTCCGGGTCCTCGGACCCCCCCCCCCCCACCCAGAGGGATGGGGGGAGGGTCCCCCTCGGCCCCCCCCCCCCCCTCCCAGAGGGGATGGGGGGGGAGGAGGAGAGGAGGAGGCGGAGGAGGAGGAGGAGGAGCAGAGGAGGAGGAGGAGGAGCAGGAGGAGGAGGAGGAGCAGGAGAAGGAGGAGGAGCAGGAGGAGGAGGAGGAGGAGGAGGAGGACGACGACGACGACGGCAATGACGACGACGACGACGACGACGACGAACAGTTAAACATCACCAAGAAATGTTCCAAATAACAGCGAAAAATAAAAGAAAAATCGTACCCGTACTACTTTTAACTACTTTACAAGATTCCTCCTGTAGAGGGACATGCCCGACTTAAGTCTTGGGGCGAGACTCGCGAAGCGCACACATCGACGGGGGGTGCTGAAGGTGTCCCTGGCCCAAGGTGCCCTTTTCTGGACCCCCATCGGGCCCTCTGGGCCTCGTGAGGGGTGCTCTGGAGGCTGTGAGTGCCTCCTTTGGAACCCCAAGGACACCTTGAGCCAGGGTTACCTCTGGCAACACCCGCACAACACAGGCAACTATTGTGGGCAACCGGTTAAGGCGGACCCCACAAACAGATGCTGACCAGTCCGAGGCTCGACCGCGTATGAGGCTCAGTGCCCAACGGAGTCCCTCGTGAGACTTCGCCTCCTGAGCAGGCGGGCCAATACGACATCATGGCAAATGATTTCAGCACGGGCCCTCTCGGCCACGCCCTGGATCATCAGTGAGTTACGGACACGCGGCGAATCAAGACCACCAAAAGTACAAGACGTTCTCAACACGCATGTCTTTACCGCAGGCACGAACTTGCATACGATGCTTTGCGGGAACGTGCTGGCCGTAGTATTAACAACTACATGTATTAGTCAACTGAGCATGTTTGCCCGGCTGCGCAAATGCACATGTATACAGAGACGGAGGTATACATGTATACACACATATATATATATATATATATGATCGCGGGCTCCAGGTCCTCGGACCCCCCCCCCAGATGGGATGGGTCCCAGGGTCCTCGGCCCCCCCCCCCCCCCTCCCAGATGGGATGGGTCCCAGGGTCCTCGGGCCCCCCCCCCTCCCAGAGGGGATGGGGGGGGAGGAGGACGAGGAGGAGGAGCAGAAGGAGGAGGAGGAGGAGCAGGAGGAGGAGGAGGAGGAGCAGGAGAAGGAGGAGGAGCAGGAGGAGGAGGAGGAGGACGACGACGACGGCAATGACGACGACGACGACGACGACGACGACGACGACGACACCGACAACGACGACGACGACGACAACGACGACGACGACAACAACGACGACGACGTCGACGGCACCACCAGCGGCTGTGGTGGCGACGACGTCGAGCACTGGAGCTGTCAACATGACACCAATCCCAGCCACACTCCGCACCCACACCGCACCACAGGGGGGGGGGAGGGGGGGAGGAGGACCATGGCGTCGCCCCGCACGGGTGGCATCGCGCGAGGGGGGGGGGGGGCGATGGCATTTGCATTGGGGGGGGCCCAAACCCTCGACCATAACACACATTGCCATGTCCACCCGATGTTGGCCACGTGCATCTAGAGGCGTGCTATGCTTCCTATCTGCTCAGCACGGCCGTGCGAGACTAGCGACAACAACAACCAAACTACGGCGCAACTGTACAAGCCCGCGTCCCGGAGCGCGCGCGCAAGCGTGAACTGGGCCGCGTGTGAACGCGAGAGGAAAACTACGAGGAAGACTCGGGAGGATATGCCCCGCGTCCCTCCTGCGCTTGCCCGCTGGTTTGCGGCCGCTCTCGAATACGGGCAACTTTTGAAGTCTCAAAATTGTGCGTGGACTTGGGGGCTCTAACTTGGCTTCCCTGAAGACTTAGATGGGCATTCGGTGAGTTGTCCCTAGCGCCTGGTTAATGGGAGCCCTTTGGCGCCTCGCGTTAGGTGGGTGTGTCGAGATTTGGCCTGTTGCCCCCCCCGTGGGCGCTCGCATGCGCCTCGTGCGAACGACACCTCCTGCGCCGCACAGCTTACACTGTGTACGTTGCACCGCCCAGTTTACACCGCAGAACTTGCACCTCATACCTTGACGTGCATACCTTACACCATCGTACCTATACGACCACCCTTCGGGTGATAAGGAGGTTACCAACGTCTCACTCGATCGGTCTCACTATCGATCTCACTATCGATCTCACGATCGGTCTCGCTCGGTCGATCTAACTCGATCAATCGCACAATCGGTAACACTCGATCTATTCCATTCGATCGCTCTCACAATCGATCGGACGATCGATTTCACAATGGATTTCACTATCGATCTCACAATCTATCTCGCATTTGGTCTCACTATCGATCTCACAATCGATATCACAATCGACATCACAATCAACGAAATCACCATCATCAACTTCATCAGGACCAACGTCATCAACATCATCATCATCATCATCATCACCATCATCATCGGGAACCAATCCTCTTCATCACCACCGTATCACCACCATCATCAACATCACCATCATCACCATCATCATCAACGGGACACCACGATCGTCACCATCACCATCAGCAACATCACCAGCGAATCATGATCATCGGAACACCACCATCATCATCACCATCATCTCATCATCATGAGCAACATCATCAACATCAACATCATCGGGACACCATCATCCTGGTCACCAACATCATCATCACCATCATCATCATCATCTGGACACCATCATCATCATCAACACAAGCATCATCATCATCATCACCATCGGGCCACCATCAAACTCATCATCATCACCTCACCATCATCCTCATCATCAACATCATCGCCATCATTATCATCGGGACACCATCATCGTCATCATCAGCATCATCGTCGTCGTCGGGACACCATCATACCATTCTCATCACCTCATCATCTCATCAACATTAACATCATCAGGATTATCGACATCATCATCATCGGGGCACCATTATCATCATCCGTAAAACCAGCATCATCAGCGTCATCATCCTCATCGGGACACCACCATCATCACCACCATCGCCATCATCATCATCACCATCATCATCGGGACACCATCATCATCGCCACCATCATCAGCAGCAACATCATCATCATCATCATCATCATCGGGACACCATCATCATCATCGGAACACCACCATCACCATCATCATCATCATCATCATCATCATCATCATCATCATCATCATCATCTCATCATCATGATCATGAACCACATCATCACCATCATTATCGGGGCACCATCATCATCAGCAGGATCATCATAATCAACATCATCATCGGGACACCATCATCATCGCCACCACCATCAGCAGCATACTCGGGATACCATCATCATCAACATCAGCGTAATTATCATCATCATCATCATCATCATCATCATCGGGCCACCATCGACATCCGCATCATCATCAACCTCATCATCATCACCATCGGGACACCATTATCATCATTATCTTCATAATCACCATCATCTTGTTATCTCATCATCATCAATTTCATCAAGACCATCAACATCATCATCATCATCATCATCATCATCATCATCATCATCATCATCATCGGGGCACAATCATCATCAGCAACAAAAGCCTCATCAACATTATCATCATCATCATCGGGACACCATCAGCATCACCACCATGGCCATCATCATCATCATCAACATCGTCATCATCATCATCATCATCATCATCATCATCATCATCATCTGGACACCGACGGGATACCGACGGGACACCGGCGGGACATCGCGCGCCACCGGGCCCCAGACAGGAAACATTTGGTCCGGCCGCGCCTCAGCCAAAGGCGGGACACTTCTCGCCCGCCCACGCAGCTTCGCCTCGCCCGCACGCACGGCACGCACGAACACGAAACCGAAACCGATTTCCCGGTAGGGGGGCTCTCCGTTCCACTTCGATCTCACCCCCTCACCTCCGATGGCTTGCACCACATAGTTGGCAGGGCATGGCTTGTAGCTTACATCACATGCCGACATTGCCACACTATGCACTGCCGCTCCACGACAAATAGTACCTTGACGCGGTATTGCAACCTTTGTGTCAAGAACTCATGAACATCTGGCCCGTATCGGGTAGCCCCAGCAAGTCCGGGTCAAGCTCGTTGCCTGAATCGTAATACGATCCTGGTCAACATGTATGCGATTTAAAAACCTGATTCCCGTCCCAAAAAAAAAGCACGGAGACTAGAAGCACACAAACACACCGAAAACTCAATTCAGCGGACCTCTCCCTGGGAGCTTCCTGACCGGAACGCCGAGGCGGACCAAGGCGTTGCGACGAGGGCCCACCACGAGGCGCAACAGGGTGAGGCCGAGGCTCAAACCGCCGACGTCATGATGTTGTGATAATGTTGCCCCTTTGAGGTTTCGAACCATTCCACGGGACCTGTTCATGCCGGGTCGCTGTTTGACGGATGGCGCTGCAGCGCCGACGGACCAGGCGATAGTTTACTTTGGCGATGTTGTTCGGTGGTAGCCCATGGGAGCCTCTCATGCCGTCTTGCTGGCTCTTGCGAACCGACGCTGGTCGACTCCAACCGACGCTGGTCGACGCGAATTGGGGCTACACCGACGCCAATCGATGCTGACCTCGGCGCCCCATCACCGATTACCAGACGCTAGCGCACGCCAGTGCCAATCTGGAGATGGAGCCTCAAGGACGCGTGCGGCTCCCGTGCTTTATTTGCCAGAGGCATCGGCAGCAAGACAGTTGAGCTGCGGGTCGAGCCGCGGGATGCGGGGCGGCCTGGAACGCTGGGCTGGGCCGGGGGGGGGGGCAGAGGCCACGGCGGTAGTGGGGGCCGCGCGGCCCCAGGGCAGCGCCCGCCGCGCGGCGCCGCCCGCCTCGCCCACCGGGGGCTCAGTCCATGGAAGAGGCCGCGTACCTCGCGACGGGCTCGAGATGCGCACTACGGTCAACCCGCACAGTAAGGATGCGCGATAAGGGTGCAAGGGCCTTGGACTCTCGTTTCAAAGCTTTCGAGCGGGGCGCGGCCGACGAAAGCGGCCAAGGATGGGCTGAGGAGGCAAGGATGCAAGGGTACCCTTGGGAAGGAAGCCCATCCTTCCTCTGCGGGTTCACTGAACACTACGCCATGGAAATATATACACAGACATCTTCCGCCGAGCTTTGCGTGTGGGCGACAATCAAACAGGGGACTCACGCGAGATGGTACAACTAGCCACCTTACGCGGTTGCTCACCCGGGCCGCCAGCGCGGCACGCTACATTGGAAGCGAGGGCTCTTACGCGCGACCTTACGCGGGAAACTTACGCGTCAGTATCGGCGCAGAAGACCCCGTCGCTTGCGTCGCTCATGTACCTTCAGGGAGGGGTGCGGTGTATAAAGCCGCTGGATCTCAGTGGCACTTCATACACCGCCAAGCTCCGCTGAGGCCCAGGAACAATCCATTGGAGGGTGTCAGTGTGTAAATTGTTATAGCGGAACTACGTCGCCTGGTCGGCCGAGGAGCCAGGAATCCGGTATCGATGGTATGAGGAAAACCCCTGAGGTCTCGCGCCGCAACTTGAGACCCGAGTTGTCGGACCCGAGCTACGTCGAATCCACATCGAATGTACGTCAGGCTCCCGTCGGATTCACATCGGACTTACGTCGACGCATCCCTGCGCGAACGTCGACCCAGATCTGACGGAACGGACGTGTGGACTAGGTGATGCAATTATTCCGCGCCACGCGAGGCCTCCAGGATCTTCCTCACAGCGTTTGAGTTGGAAGCCCAAGGTTGGTAACGAAAAATGGGTACGATGCCTACCAGCGAATGTCGCCCCAAACCAACAGCGGTCGCTGTTGGATATGCAACTTTTTGTCTCAAATGGATAGCGTCCGTGGCGACGCCGATACTAAGTCTTGTTCAAAATAAGCAAGAACTGCTGTCGGTCTTCGTCCACAATTTTTCTATTCCGATCCTGGTCCTCCACGCTCCAACGCCCCAAAGGCTGGGCAACCCAAGCGTCTATGCACAACGAACTCCTCAGCCGGCCAGACGACTTGGTGCACGAGGGTCCCTCTGCAGCACCTCGCGAGGGGCATGGCGGCCTTCTTGCTCTGGTCCTCCGGCGTCCACCACGCGGGCGGCTTGCCCCCGAAGATGCCCTTCGCAGCTTTGACCCGCACGTCCTCGTGTCCGAGGATGGGTTCCAGTAGGCCCACGAGCTCCTTGATAAAAGCCGGGCGGTTCTTGTGATAGGTGGGGTCCGCGCTGTACGTGAACATCCGCGCGCAAGTGGCCCTCAGGAACACGTCCGGGTTGAGCGTTATCCTGACCTGCCCCTCGATGGGTTCCTTCTCTGCCAGGTACTTGCTCAGGGGCAGGTCGCGCTTTTTGTCTGGGACGCCGTACGGGAAGGCGGGGTACACGTACTTGTCGCAGAGCTCGCGCCTGAGGAAGATCTGCAGCATGTGCCCAGACCTTACCATGATGGAGTGGGGACCCCATGGAAACGAGTCCTGGTCCCCGGTGCTCTCTTGAGCATCGCTTAACCGACCCCTGTCCCTATGGGCGTGGCCTGGGCCCCACTGGCCGATCTACCCACCTAGATAAAGGTACATGCCGTTTCCTTCGGGTGTCGAGGGGGGGGGGGTCTGCATAGGGATGGAGATGGGGATGGGAAGGGGTCAGCTAAACCTTTCTGATCTCTCCCTTCGGATGCAACGCCCGGGAGATCAAATTCTGACTTTGCCCTGGTCCAAAATCTGGCTCCATCCCTATGAGTCCACGCGTGATCCCGCTTCATCCGGCCGAATCCGGCTCAATCCCGCTCACCAGACCCCCGACGTCATGATTTTTTCATGACGTCGACCCCCAGAGGTCTGGACCCATTCCCCAGGACCGGTTTTTCGTCCTGAGTTGTTTTTCGACGGTCCCGAGGGCCGGTAAGGGCCCCCAGAGTCCAAAAATAATGAAAAACCTCCCGTCGTGATTTTTTCATGACTCGAGGGGGTCTGGGTCAGTCATCCAGCACATCGGCTCCCCACTGCGGCTCGATCCTCCCCAATCCTTCCGACGAAGACCTCCCCGGCGAGGAATATGAGGAGGAGGAGGAGGAGGAGGAGGAGGACGAGGAGGAGGAGGAGGAGGAGGAGGAGGAAGAGAAGAAGGACGAGGAGGAGGAGGACGAGGATGAGGATGAGGAGGAGGAGGTGGAGGAGGAGGAGGAGGAGGAGGAGGAGGAGGAGGAGGAGGAGGAGCTTGCCTCCGACGGGGGCGACGTCGACGCCCGGGCGGCCCATCGGTGCAGCACGGCGGCGACGCCGCGGCGGCTTCGGCGAGGTTTCTGCGGCGACGGCGGCGAGGGCGGGCGGCACGGCCCGGCGGAGCGAGGCTGCCGCCGGCGCTCGCGGCGGCCCGGCGAGGGGGCGGCGCGCGGCCGGGGACCAGACTTCAGTCGGGCCTGTCCCCCTACAGGGGGCTTTTCGACGAAGAATGGAAAAATACGGAAACAATACCCCCCGGATGCTTCAAAATAGTACAGAAAATCGTCCCCGTACTATTTTGTTGACTCTTTTTGCAGTTCCGACTTAAGTGAAGGGGCCCTGGGACACACAAATCAATACACACAAATAAACATATTCCCAATATTTTCCTATATTTTCTGGGTTTCTGTCTTCCCCCCCACTGCCCATATTTTCCCATATTACCTAACAGCGAAGACTGATAGGTTTCTAGTTGACTCAAAAGAGCTCACAGATCACTCCACAGGGGGGTCCGGGCAGGTGTTGGGGAGTTGCCGGGCGGCAGGGTGCCGGGCTCGTTTTTCACCAACAGTCACACACTTCGTGCTCTTCGACTTCCCAGAACTCCATTCCCAGGCCACATTCTGAATACCCGGATGCAACAGTCACACACTTCGTGTTCTTCGAGATCCCAGAACGCCATTCCCGGGCCACATTTAGAATAACCAGATGCAACAGTCACACACTTCGTGCTCTTCGAGATCCCAGAACGCCATTCCCGGGCCACATTTAGAATAACCAGATGCAACAGTCACACACTTCGTGCTCTTCGACATCCCAGAACGCCATTCCCGGGCCACATTCTGGAGGGCCGGATGCAACAGTCACACACTTCGTGCTCTTCGAGTTCCCAGAATTCCATTCCCGGGCCACATTTTGGATGCCCGGAGCCAACTGTAGGCCACTTCCTGGTCTTCGAGTTCCCAGAACTACATTCCCGGGCCACATTTTGAATAGCCAGACGCTTCGTAGTCCTTCCGCCACAGCCGTGTTTGGTTCAGGAATTGCTAGTGACACTGCAGTCCACTGCATTCAATCGTGCCACTGCATTCACTCACTGCAGTCCACTCAGTTTCGATTGCAATGGCGTTCCCCTGGCCGTACCCCCATACCCAACGTTCATCCGCAGCCTCTGCTCCGCGAGGCTCGTCCGAAGTGTCGCCGCCTCGCGGTGCTTCTCAGCCTGCGCCGCCTCGCGGTGCTTCTCAGCCTGCGGAGGAAGGTGGACAGACGCCTGGTTCTGGCGCTGTGCAGCCTGCGTCTTTCACGGTCGCCTCGTTCAATTTCGGGTTCGAGCAGGGCATGATGACTGGTAAGCAGGCGGCCACTCACTGCGCTAACTTCGGAAGGGTGTGCGCCACGATAGTGGAGACCGCTGATGCTGATATTGTCTGTGGCTGCGATGAAGGCTTTCGCCGAGCAGGGATCAACGTGACAGAGAGTAAGCCTTTCGGTGATGGCATTCGCTTCTCGTCGAAGGTTTCTGAGCAGGGGTGACAGAAGACAGCCAGTAACCTCCTGCGGCTCTTGATGCTGAACGCTTCGTCCTCAGTAAGCCTTTCGGTGATGGCATTCGCTTCTCGGAGGTCGACAACTACTTGACTCTCTGGGGGTTCCGCGGTGCTTCTCAGCCTGCGGAACTGACTCTGTGCGAAGACAGCAAAGTTTACAGGCCTCCTAGCGGCCGAGAGATTGATGCTGTTATTTCACATTTTGAGGTGAACAAACCAGGCCATGACAAGTTCCACGTGGTGATCGCCAACATGCACATCGTGTGCGGCAAGAAACCGCCGACCATCCAGACTCGAAAGCGGACAGTTCGCAATCTCCGCTTGCACCTGGACTGCCTGGGAAAGATTCTTGAGAATCTGAGCCAGGCAGTCGTTCTGCTTGTAGTCGGCGACGACAACCTCACTTTCCAGGAGGCGCGGGAGGCTTACCAGCGCCAGCAGAACGACGAGAAGCTCTGGGAGGTCCATGCCACTCCGGCCGACCTCAAAGGCGACCACGTCGCGGTCTGCGGAGCAGTCGCCCGTTTCTGCTCCATTGCCGTTGGCGCGTCTTTTACGGATCGTGGCATGCGCAACGACGCACACGATGCGGTGGCGGTTGTGCTCACTCTCCCTGGTGCTATTCAGCCTGGGGAGAGCAAGAGGCGGAAGATTGTCGTCGAAAACGTCTCCGACGCCGACGTCAGCGTACAGGCGGACGCCGAGTCTTCTGTGCATTGGGATCGGTCGCCGAGTTCTACTCCTCCGCTTTCACCGACTTCACCGGGTGATCCCGACTACGTCGAGGATGTCGTTCAGAATCGCGCGAACGACTTGCACAGGGAGCTGAGGCAGCTTTGGGACGACAGGTACGACGAGGAGTACGATCCGAAAGTCCTCCATCATCTCAGTCTCTTGCTTTTCAAAAAGAGGAAGTCCACGGAGCCAGCGGACACTAATCCAGCTGGCGCTCCTCAGCCTGGCTCGGAATATGACACGGCCTTTGCGTCTCAGGAGGAGACTGGCCGAGCCATTCTCTCTGTCCTTAAGCTTCGACATGACTTTCTGCGGAGCAAGAACATCGACGACATGCGCTACGTTCTCACGGAGCCTGAGCGCCAGGAATTGGTCAGAGTAGCTCGCGACCAGTACGAGCAGTCGCGGCAGCAGCGTGCGCTTCAGGAACGGGATGTCGAAAAGGGAAAAGCGAGAGGCAAGTCTGCGCCACAAGGGGGCCATGCGGTTCCGCAGGGTCCTAACAAAGGGCCAGGCGGTAAGAAAGGTTCTCACGGTGCTTCTCAGCCTGCGGGAAAAGGTGGCCAGGCCAAGGGTGCAGGTCTGGGTAGCGTCGCCAAGTTTGTGAAAGACCAGAAGCGTAAGCGGTGGCATCGCCATTTGCAACGTGTGGCCGGTACCAAACAGATCTGGGAGGTGCTGGCCTTCTCAGGGCGCTTCGACGTTGATTGGCTAACGCAAGCGTTGCAAGCTGATCACAGTGAGGGCCGTGATGCAGCAGTTCCCGAGGAAGCTCTGCGGCAACAGCGGCGCCGGCTGCACCACCAGAAGGCCGAGGCCATCGCGCGCTACAACGAGGGGGAGCGGCTTTCCCGCCATCTGTCTGCCCAGGCTGGCCAGCCAAAGCCGAACTTCACGCGCAGGCAGCTGGACGTGTTGCAGATGTTTGAGAGCGGAGCGCTGCTTCAAATCCGCAACCAAGCGATTCTGGCGTTGGGGCACGGCCGTCTGTTCAGGGCCGATGGCGACTACCTGGACATCGGCGGCAGCACGGGCGGTGGCTCCAGGAGCATCATCGATTCTTGGCAGCCGCCGGACTGGCGTGACTTCCTCCAAGACGATCAGGACATCTGAGTTTTGCAAGTCTCCCTGCCCGCGGTGCTTCTCAGCCTGCGGTCTGCCGCTCTCCAGCTGCGGTCTCGAGCAGTAGTGTTCGAAAGCATGCGAGTTCCTGCGGTGCTTCTCAGCCTGCAGGTTTCGCAGCTTGCGCTCTGCAGTACAAGTGCTTTTCAGCATGCGACATCCTGCGGTGCTTCTCAGCCTGCAGGGTTCCCAACGTGCGGTTTGCAATGCATTCCTTTTCAGTATGCGAGTTCCTGCGGTGTTTCTCAGGCTGCAGGGCTCCGAGGCTCTTCGCTTCGATGCCAATGTTTTCAGACACCGTAGCTCCGTTCCGTAAACATCTTCCAAGAACCGCTCGCAACCTTTTGCAGCTGGCGGTCTGCAGACGTAGTCTGTCTCAGCATGCGAGCTCCCGCACGCTTCGCCGGCTTTTGCTGCGCGGACAATTTTCTCACACACGTCAGCGCCGTTTGTAGGCGTCAGAAAAACATGTAGACATTCACGAAGGGCTTAGTCTGTATATCGTCACATCATTACATACGCAGTCGTCGAACACATCGGTGTACATTCAGCGCTTTGTCCTTCTACAGCATTCTTTCCGTTGATAACAGTGTTCTGATGGGTTCGCTTCGTTCTAAAAGCGTTGATAGCAGTGTCTCGTTTGCGGACAACTCATTCTATATCAACTCACTGATACCGAGTTTCCTTTCACCATAAGTGAATGCATACCAGTGTATGTTGGTTACTACAAAAGTGGGTTCCTACAACCGACTTCATGATCGCTATCATCATCGCAGATTTCACTCATCCTCATCACCACGACTGGTTC